GGGTATGGTAAATTGTCAAACGTTGATTAGAGATGCAAAAGAGAAGAAGCTGTGGGGAGCCATGATCATCCGCCGCCTGAAGACACACAAGACATAAAAATATGTCAAAGAGCTATTAATGCCAACAGTCATCAAAAACTGAATAATCATATTTTATAACACATTTCCTGCCCCCAGCAAAAAATATAGAAACTCATCCTAAGCAAACATTATACAGAATTCAAGGAAAACGTTGTATTTATTGTTCCTCGTTATGGCTTCAGGGAATCTCTAAGTGATTAAAAATATTCTAACTGAATTACTGTTTAACTACGTTCACTGATTTAGACTTGTATTTACTGTATACAATTAAACGCTGCCGTATTGTTTGAAATTAGGCAGCCTTAATAGTAGATTGTTAATTAGGTTATCTTCCCCATGAGATGTTTAACGCCAGACCTTATTAGCAGAGACGACAGGTAGTGAAGAACTAGCCACCCCTGAAGTTAAAATCTACCACCCGTTAACCGCAACAAATTTTGATAACGGCAAATGTGTATTTTGTCTTTATAATGTAAATGATAAATAGGCAATGCCTTATGTGGAGACTTCTGTGTCATCTTTTTTGAACAACCTCCAATGTCTTATTGAAATTGTCTTGTCTACCTTTGTTATATATATATATATATATATATATATATATATTACAGGCAAAAGCTGATGAGAAATGATATTGCCAATGAACCCCTTCACTGCACTTGGTTGCTTTAATGGGATGTGTCGGGGGTTGACACTTTCACGCCGTTTAGTGTAAATTGCTTAGCTCCCCATCTGATCAGTGTTCAGTGTTATTGCTGCTCTGATCGCTGATTATCGTTTTGCCGTCCACCTCCTGCTGCTGTAACACCAACATAACCCCCCCCCATCTCATCTATTACCGATATCTTAGACAACACAACATATTTTGACAGGGTTTTCGTGGAGATGTGGTGTCCTCATAAACTAGAGAAATGTCAGAGTTATATTTCTAAAATATGTATTTTTCTTACTGTCATGTCCCCCTTCAGAAGGTAAATGATCACGGCTCTCCACGATTTACTTTTGTCTCTATTGTCCGTGATTGTTGTGACTACTTGGTAAAAACTCGTGGCGTCATTTTCCTTTATCGTCTCCACAGTTTGGAATTCAGAGTTTTTTTCTTCTACTAGACTGGCTAACAGCCAGGGTTAAATAGCCCAGTCTACACTACTTATTAGCCTATAAGGACTTTTGTGCAAAAGTGATCGCAGCAGACTCGTCTGAAATTTGAACTCCGCTCACCGATCTCATTTTACGTGCCGATAGCCGTTACACCTACACTGAACTGGCTGGGAGAACATTTGCTTAATATGTTTACTTTCATACAATTCAGGAGGTATCACATTATATATATATATATATATATATATATATATATATATATATATAATATGAAGAAATTTTGAAAAAAACAAACAAAATCCTTAAATGTAGTTAAAATGGAAAAAAAAACACAAGTTTATTCAGAACAGACGTTTGTGTTTTAATGTCCATCGTATTTTCAGACAATATTGAACTGAATTGTATTTTTGTTGAATATTGTTTGAAAAAGGTTTATTAAACCGAAAACGTCAGACGTCGACAGACTTTCATTTTAACTACATTTAAGGATTTTTTTTTTCAAAATTTTCATTCTGTCGGATTTATATCCATTTACACTTTGAAATATATATATATATATATATATATATATATATATATATATATATATATATATATATATATATATATGTACATTGGACATTGAAATCAACACCAGAGGCGATAGACCATTTCATGCTAAACGCAATCGTTAGGCTATCGTAACTTTAACCCATGAACATAGCATACCATAAAACTATATATATATATATATATATATATATATATATATATATATATATATATATATGTGTGTGTGTGTGTGTGTGTGTGTGTGTGTGTGTCTTCAAATTCAGAACGTTCATAAAAATATCTCATTTTCTAAAAGAAATACTTCTTTCACATAGATGGGTATATATATTTTTTTAATTGAAAGAAAACGGTGAGATGAAAACCTTCTATTATTTGAAATAAATAAATGTATAAATGATTTATCAAATTAAAATAAAATAATATACAATAATTAAATTAATAAATTAAAAAGTAAATAAATTTGTACTATATAAACAAATAAGAAAATAAAAATTTCTACCCCAACAATAAAAACATTTTCTCAGTTTCCCTACTTAGGCATTAAATTACACCACTTAGAATCGTCTATAGTTTAACCTGAAGAATATTCATGAAGATTCTTAGATTTAAACATTTTGAAACCCTATCCATCTTTTTACTTCTCTTTACAAATACATATCACAAAATAAAATCTTTAAATCTGATTTAATAAGTACATCAGAAGAGAAGAATAAAGAAAATATTTCCTTCAGTATTTACATTAGTCGGACTATTGTCCTCATCTTTGTCGCCATATTTGTCACAACGTTTCGGCCGTTGTACGCTCCGGCCTTCTTCAGGTGGTTGGAATTTCGAACTGAACCCAGTGCCATGTGTCCTCAAGGACACATGGCACAGTGGATAAAGGCGTTGGTTAGATCCAGTGACAGACCCAAAGAAGGTGGGTTCAATACCTGGTAAAGGCAGTGGAGAACTTTCAGAGGGAAAATTAGCAGGAGATAACTGATAACTGACATCCATCAAACATGGCACGTGGAACTAGAACAGTCTACCCCAGTGATCGAAATAAAGGGTTCAGTTCGAAATTCCAACCAGCTGAAGAAGGCCGGAGCGTACAACGGCCGAAACGTTGTGACAAATATGGCGACAAAGATGAGGACAATAGTCCGACTAATTTAAATACTGTACATAATACCTCATCTCAGAAATATAGACAGACCCTAAAAGATTTCCTTCTATCTTTATTCGTACATACTCGTATATATATATATATATATATATATATATATATATATATATGTATATACTCAGATAAAATGAGAACAAATAGAGTGCAATTCTAATGTTCATACATTCAATTTAAAAGCGGGCTCAATACAGAGTAGAATAATATTATTTATTTTAGAATATTAAAATAACATGTAAAAATTGCTACACAATTGCACTCGTGTTACGACGCATACCAATGCGTCTCTTCAGGCTATTGTAAATTACTGGCGAGTGAACGATTAGTTTCTAAAACAAAATGCATCCTCTTTTTTCGAAAAAAAAAGGTTATAAGGCTTGAGAGCTTTACACTGATAAGCCAATCAAATATGACCTACGTTCGATTCAAACTAAACGAAAAGGAAAAAATTAAAATTTTCTTAGAAATGGGTCATGACCCGGGGTTATCTGCCAACAGCAGCCAAACATGAAAAACTAATACAGATGGTTACGTAAAGTTTATACATGTAAGAAGGTCAACCTGCCCAAAAAATAACAGCGGAGGGGTAGAGAGGTAATTTAACCTAATGCAAACTTTTTATATGCTTTGTTGACTTCCTACATATTTTTTTTAGTTGATAAATAGGAAGCCTCTTTAAGAGACTTGTAAATATTTCAAACGTATAGACTTATTTGGTAAATTAATATGCAACCGTTAAATAAAGATCATCCATATAAGATGCTAATGATACCAACCAGTCAATGTAAGATGTCAAAAAAATACTAACTACCAATACATCATATAAGATGTTAATGATACTAACAGAAGATTAATACAGAACTATATTAAATCCATAATCTTACAAATAGTAAAATAACCTATATATGTTGCATTGCTGTTCAACTAAAATATAAGAAAAAACATTATAAAATTCCAAATTTCAACTAAAATGTAAAGTAAAAGGTATAATATGTCTACAATTTGCAGTTAATTTGCTCCTTTGGTCTCATAAAGACTTTTTATCATAAAATCTGATAACAACCAATTTTTCAAGTAACCACGGAAAACATGGTTCATATAAATATCTACATGTCCTTGCCATTTTTAAATTTTCCATTTCACCTTATGAGATTTATTATCCTCTTTTAAATTCCATAAATATTTAGGAGACGCATCGGTATGCATCTAAACACGACTGAAATTGTGTAACGATTTTTACATGTTTTAATATATATATATATATATATATAGTTTTAA